GAGGTTTTCCCCTGTCTTCTAAACTAAGACATTCCTATAAATAAAATCTTTGTATTCTACTTACCTATATTTTCTAGCAAGGGCATCCCTTTCTGTTTTCTGTTTTGCAAGCATTTCATTCAAAGTATCTTGCACCTGAGACAGCCTTTGGAGATATACATCTGTCCAATATTTTAATATAATCAAAATGATTATGGCAAACAGGAGAAAATAATTACACTAATAACATTGTTAATGTAGAAAATACGCAGCCAAAATACGAAAATATTGCTACAGCAGCACCCTATACTGTCATGCATACTGATAGCTCTTTACAACTAGAGCACTTTTCAGAGAAAGAATTTAAAAAATGTTTTTAATTTAAAAGGAAATGTTTTAACTTTAAAGGAAATAGTCCAAGTACTGGAAAACTGCAAGTGCCTTCGCTAGAAAATTACTAAGAAGATAGCATAGATTAACGAAGCGTCCTATGGATGATAGGCACTTAAGTTCTTTATGTTGCAAGTAACATGAAAATTATATGTGAGGATACCTGCAAAAGTTACACAGTCTTAAGAAGGTGGCTTAAACCTTTATGACTGAGGTATAAGCTCAGGCTGTTCCAAGTTACATATAATGGTAAAAATGTCTGTGTCATAGATTCACATAGTTTCAAATCTGCATTATAAAATAGAATGAAAAATAAGTTGTCCCTTTTTGTTAGGTCTGTTTTTCTAAAATAAGAAAAGCAACTATAAATTCTTCTTTATATGCCCCAATTGTTAGCCATATAACATAACAGTGTTAATAACAGAAGTCATGACCAGCAGATACCGCTGGAATACTATGCTAAACATGTAACCTAATTCCTAAAATTCTAAACCAGAAAGTACAAGCTCTCCATATTAATGAAAAATGGAAAAATACAGCATTAAAAATGGCATCCATAAAATGTTTCCCATACCTGTTTCATAATATCTACTGGTGTTTACTTAATAAAATGGAAGGCAGCCTAATAGGGAATTGAAATCTATTATTTACAGTAGGTTGTACTGCATAAAAATACCTTGAGGATTTTATTCTACACTATAAGTTTGTCAATGGACTCCTACATTCTTGTTCAGTCTTGTGCCTCTTCACAAGTAATAGCTATGATTCAGGCTAAGAGGTGCTAGATTATTAATGCTTTTGTCAGTAGTAGTAACAGATCACCATGTTCATTTCTCTCATATCACTAAATAGGAAAGGTATGATAGCTTTATTTTGCTAAACTATGACATTGCACCAGTCTCTATCTATGAACTTCTGCCTGTTGTATTATGTACCTGTTTGTCAAATATTTTTTGAAAAAAAATATTGATTTTTATTAAGGATTCATATGCCATAAATTAGAGTTGGAAACTATATATCTGCATAATTTTATATTTCACATTTGGTTTTAAACAGCTAAATTAACTATTTAAAATGTAATTTGAAAGCTTCACCCTGTATCTAGGAAAATAGATTTAAAAACCTCTCTCCTCTCCATCAGGAAGCAAAATGGTTTCACGGGCATGAGCTGCTCCAGACTAAATAGCTCTGTCTAGGTGGCAACAGCAGCTGGAGAGAGAGGCTTTGGTGCTCCTGCAGCAAGTTTTGCCACTGAACAGTCATGGCACAGACTCGGTATACTCAAGCTGCTACACAGCATCAGCACTGTGGTCTCCAAGAAAGTCAGTATCACTTAACAGGCTCTTGAGATTAATCTGCACTGAGATTTGATAGCCTAAACCAAATGACACCTCCGGGCATCAGCATTTCTGAAACTGCCCAGGTAGACACTACAATGTCTACCTTAAAGATTTCTCTTTTTTCCCCTAGTAAATGATTTTAGGCTCCTGAAAGTCCAGCTGCACTAGAAAGAAAATCTTTCATCTGTAACTTTACATACAGACATAGCTGTTCTTGATCATGGTGGGGCTCATGCACTTGGAACTGAATAATGCTGCCAACAGTGTGCTTTCTTATCTAATGATGTCATTTTGCATCATTAGGTTGTCTTGAATCACATGCCTCCAAGCAGCATGCTTCCTTTTTGTCATGATATTAATTCCTGTGTAAACTGGAAGTACTTCTGGAAGTGGACTTACCTGGGAGCTGTTATTAACATCTTATTCTCTGAAGCTGTATTTTCCAGAAGAGATATTAAAATACATTACATGCAATATTATTTTTAAAACAATTTTATTACCAAATACATTTACCCCCTGCCCTTTCTCCCAAGGAGTGAAACAATTTGAATTTACAACTACCTGCATCTTTAAAACTTCTCAATTCAAGTAGCAACAGTTCTTTTTGCTCCTTTTCTGCATCTTGTATGGCAGCAACAGGCTCCTGTTAACAAACACAGAAATAATAGTAAGAAGTAGAGTCAATTACATCATGTAAAACATAGGCCACGATGCACAGCCTGCAGGATAAGTCATTCCAGGCAGGGAACTACTGCACAAAGGCAATGAGGGCACTGGCAGGATAGACATCCATAGTGCCAAGGGCACGCTCTGCAAGCTGCTGTCCCAGCCTGGTTTTGCAAACCAGCCCACGCTCACAGTCCCATCTCTGAGAGCACTGTAGGGGTTAGACAGTAAATTTCACCATGATAGCATCACCTAGACAATGTAGACACAGCCTGCAGACACCATCAAGAGCTCTCCTAACATGAAAGTTGTGCAAAAATCTTCCTGGCTGTTTTAAATTAAGATTAAATAATTTCTAAGTATCTTCATTATCATGAAGAAAAATCATTACTCTTCCAAAGAGTCATTCTGGAAATATGACGAAAAGCCTCAGGATTCCAAATCTTTCTTCTGTCCATCTCTGGAGGTTTTTAAGGCCAGGCTGGATGGAGCCTTGAGCAGCCTGATCTAGTGGGAGATGTCCTTGCCATGGCAGGGTGTTGGAACTAGATGATCTTTGAGGTCCCTTCCAACCCAAATCATTCACATGATACAGGCAAAAAGAAATGTATGTAAGTATTGACTACTGTTTGCACAACACACGTAAGCAGGAATCAAGAACAGAGATATGATAATATAAACACTCACATACTGCAAAACACAGCTTATGTACTGTAAGCCTCTGTATGATGCTAGTTTCTACATACATTCTATGGTGTTAATTATTTAAATAATACTTTTATGTTATTTGGTCAGTAAATGACACTATGCAGTACTACACTATGAAGCAGTTTAACAAAACTCATAATCTATACTTACTGTGCTGCATTTCTCATGCTGCCGTTCCAAAACTGCATCACTACTTTTACAGCAGTTGTAATAGTGACATTTTGATGTTCTTGAGCTAGAAGGCTTTTCCCTCCCTTTACAATTAAGAAAGAATGAACAGAATTTTAAATGAATTTGCAGGAGTATAATAGGTTAGATTAGCTAATATAGATTACAAGGTTGCAATGGCAGATCACATAATAAAAAAATATCTTGTATAGGCAAGTGAAATCAAATTTAGGTAGCATAACGAAATGAGTCTTTAAAGTTACCACTTCCAAAACCACAAGGTTCCTGTGAAGGGAAATATGGATAATAACAAAAAATATGAAGACCCAAATATGTCCTATGTCTCGCTCTCCCAGTGAAAAAACCCCACAAGTCATGTATCCTATTTACTGAAAACAAATAAATAGATTAAAAAAAAAATTACAATTCAGTAATAAATAAATAAATAGCTAGGTAGATAAATGAACGAACGAATGAATGAATATTATAATTCAGTAGTTAACAGAGTTAAAAATATCAGTGCCAGGCAATAAACAGCTCCACAAATCAGCAGCATTCCAATGTACCATTTTCCCTTAAGACTACAGGATAGTCCTATGATTTACACTACAGAACAAACATACCTTTAACTTCAGTAGTCTCAATGGGAAGTACCGAGTCCATACAGTACAGTCTACTGTAAGAGTTCAGCAGTTCTTTCATTTCATCATCATGAGCTATATCCAAAGCACTTTCTCCTGAATCACTCTTCTCACAGGGATTTGCTCCATGCTGTAGTAGAATCCTGGCTGCCTGTTATATATTGTCATTATTATTTGTATTGTGCTAATTATTGTTGTGGACTTATAATACAACTATAAGTGTTGTATTTATCATAAATCACAAACAATAATGGTACAAAAAATATTCTCTAAAACTTTCAGATTTGCGATTCCAATCAAACAAACATGTTCAGTTGTCTATTTTTAACACAGACTTGTTTTTTATACTTCTAGTTTTTCCATTAAAATGCACAAATAATTCACATCTTGTCATTAAGCCTACCATCTCTACGGTATAGTTATAGAGAGCAATCACAAAACTTCATATATCTAAACTAAAAGGAACTGGTCAAGTATGAAGTCTAAAGGGCAGAAAAGAAGAGCACTTTTTTTTCTTTAAGTATTCAACAGCAGCTTTGGATTTGGTTAAATGCACTGATGCTTTGTTTCCAAATTGCAAATCACTTGCGTATCTGCTAAACTGTAAAATCTGGAAATGAGATTAGTGACATCAGTGGAATCATCTACTTGCTGAAATTCAGATCATATGAAAGTGCTGACGAGGTCAGAGCTTGGATGGTAAAGAATTTTCATAAATACGATTTTTTATCTTCAGTATTTCTTTTTCTTTCTCACATTCAGAGTGCTGCTAAGTATTACAAAGTATCAGAAAGACAATACACTCTAGTTCAGAATCTTCTCCATTAATTTCCCCCCACAATACTGAACAACAGCTTACACATTTTCAAGAACCCTATTGTCAGTTTGGCACCACACCTGCAAAATCGTTTATCTTTTCTCACATAAAAGGTAAATGTGATGAAATATCAACACTTCTGACTGGAATAGAAGTTTGAGCCTACTTGACATCACCTTTTACTCTCAGTTCCCTGAAACTCACTATGCCGAAACAATATGTTTTTTATTTGTGTGCAGTTCTGTGTGCCGGGTTTTAAAAAGCATAGGAAGGTCCCTGCATGCATCCAGAGAAGGGCCACAAAACTGGTGAAAGAGGTGGAAGGTATGACCTGTGAGGTGCGGCTGAGGTCTTTGGGTTTGTCTCTTTTGGACAACAGGAGGCTGAGGGGCAACCTCATTGCTCCCTACAGCTTCCTGAGAAGGGAAGTGGAGAGGAAGCTGATGGCCCCCTCCTTGGGATCCAGTGACAGGACGTGTGGGAATGGTTCAAAGCTGTGCCAGGGGAGGTTTAGTCTGGATATTAGGAAGCATTTCTTTACCAAAAGGGTGGGGTAAACACTTGAAGAAGCTTCCTAGAGAGGTGTTTGAGGCATTTGGACAATGCCATTAGCAACGTGGTCATTAGCTCTGAATTGGTCAGGCAGTTGGACTAGAGGATCACTGTAGGTTCCTTCCAACTGAAATAGTCTATTCTGTTCTACAGAACCACAGAATGGCTAGGGTTGAAAGAGACAAGTTAATGAAAAACATGGTTGATTTTTAAACAGCAGGCCATTGGGGTTTTTTCTTCATTTTATCAGGGTGGTGAGACACTGAAACATGTTGCCCAGAGAAGCTGTGGATGTCCCATGACCAGAAGCATTGAAAGTCAAGTTGGCTGGGATTTTGTGCAAGCTGATCTAGTAAAAGATGTCCCTGGCTGTGGCAGGGGGCTTGAAGTAGATGATCAAATGGAGAAGGTTTAATTTCAGTATTATTTTTAAAAAGCCCGATATGTGAGAGAGATCTATGGGAAGCTTCTGATTTCTGATTTGTCCACTGAACTGAAAGTATCAACTACATGTACAATTTCAACTATCACTATTGAAAACGTATTTCTTTCTCTAATTTTGATCACTTTAAAGAATATCAGCTTATTTCCTAAACACAAATCTACACTAAAATTAGTAGTAGTAGCTTTGATTTTCCTTATTTAAACTAAGATTTTTTTTTCCTGATCCTCTGCAGGAAATTATGCTCAGGAAATCTAAAGTAAAAAAAAAAAAAAGTACCTCCAAATAATTACCAGAAACAGCATCATGTATTGGCAAAATACCATCCAGACTTCTGCTGTTAACACTAGCACCGGCTTTCAGTAACTCTAAGATCACTTCAGTAAATCCCCTACTGGAAGCTTCATGAATTGCTGTCCAACCTAATAAAAGCAAGATGACACACACAGCATGCATCTGATTTGGAAAGATCCACAGAGATCACTAATTAGTAATTATTCATTCTGCTGCATGTGCTGTACTATAGGCTACTCCCTCTAAGATAAATCTTATGCAAACAATCACCTTGTCATGCCAAGATGAATTATTTCCTGTGCAATTCAGTTTAATTTAGAGAAAAATTTATCCTATATTAAGCAAAAAAATATTGTTTACTTTTCTACCACATCCCTAAAAATAATAAAGAAACAAAACAACAGAGCAGAAGGACTCAAAAAACTCAGAGACATAATATTATTAGTCTGATTTCTAATCCCGGTGGCATTTTATAATATCAAGTCTGCCAGGCATGCAGAATAGAATATCATCCATTCTGAGACTACAAAACCAGAAATAAGTTATACGTTTAAGTATAACAAAGAATCTTGTCAGCTGATTTTTGTCCTCATTTCCTAAAGCAAGACTTGTGTGAATGCACTTCACACAGTATATATTCATATGTTATATATTCATGCATTAGTTCTCCTGATGAACTTTCAAGTCCAGTTTCCATACATATTTTTGAAAACGTGCTCTTCAGCAGAGCAAGATCCAATCAATGTCCCTGCTGAGAACAAGGCTGCATTCCATGCTGAGACACAAAATCAGGGATTCACTGATCGTGCTTGCACTTGTTGAAGGACTTCCTTTCCTCCTCACAATTATATCGTAAAACAAGAATCCATAATTATATTAAAATTACATAAATTATATAACACTATATGTAGTATACATTATATAAAATTGTATTATAAAACAAGGCCATAACAGAATAATTCACAAACCTCCATAGTCCTGCTCATTGACACACATTCCAGACAATATTAAAGTTTTCACCGAAGACATATCTCCTCTCCTAGCAGCTACATGCAACCGAGTTTCTCCTTTTTCATTTTTCCTAATTTTCTTCTTTCTCCCAGCTCCTGCATGACAGGTACCATACAAAATTACAGTTTCTTTCCTGGTAGGCAGGGAGGATTCTGAAGATATACTGGGTGCTCATTAGGTACCACAAAAGACATGTCATTATAAACAAAGAATTAAGCTTTGTAACTCATTTGAATTAATGTAGATGTGTGCAATACTGTTGCCTTAATTAGTTAATAACATTAACTGACTACATAAAACGTTTAGAAGGTACCACAGAACAAAATGGATAAAAAATAGAGCCTATGCAAAGGAATTTACAGTTGAAATCTAGATGACATAATAAGGGTACAATGAATTAGGGATCAACAAAAAAGGTAGTAAGTTTGAAGTTTTATACTGCATAGAGGTAGGGAGTAAGTTATACCATTTCTGTGTGGACTGCTTTCAAGTTACCAGGCATGAGTGCTAAAGATGTAAAATACATGCATAAATGTATTGAAAAACTATACAGAAGTGAAGACTTGAACATTACCTCCTTTCTGTTCCTAAGTCTGTATCAGGGAAGAGATAGGTTTCTACATAAAATATTTTTACAGCTGTGACGTGAAAAATTCCTGTAGACTGACTACAAGTCTCTGATTAATGTCTAGTCACACAGCTGAACTGCCTTTTAATTAAACCTGTGCAGGACTGGACCCGTAATTGTAAATAAATTTGATTTAATCTTGTGTTTATTGGTTCACAAAGCAAACAACAGCCACTTTAAATTTTACCCCGTGAACATCAAGCAAGTCCTAATTCTAATGCTTCAGGCAACAAACATATCAAATTGTAAGAAATACAAAGAAAAAAAACAGATTAAAAAGTATGGATTCTGTGTATAGCGTAAGGACACACCCCTACAAAACTGCTACCAAGATGGTGTCTTTAAAACTTCAAAGGCTCTACCATGCATATTAGCTTTAACTCCTCTTCCTGCTGTTATAATACTGTGCTATCAGATTTAGAAAAAAAATCACTGTGTTCCTTCCTATTTCTTGCAAATCTATAATTTGTCAAAAAAGGCGCGAAGTGCAACTCTTATCCCTGACTTTTTAAATTATTCCTATGAACAATTAGTTGCTACATCCCAAGCATTTCCTCTTCTCATCAGACAAGCTGTCTTCTCAAATAATTTCATTACTCATTGTTATCTAACATCTTTCACGATCTGACAGTTGCCTTTCTTTGCGCTCCTCCTGCCTTCTGAAATATCTGCTTTTCCAAGGTTTCTTTTAAGGTAAACTACTGAGCTAAGACTCTGAGGAAGTAAATGAAAGACATACTGCAACTATATTAAAGACAGACATATAGCAACCATATAACCATACTTATTTTAAACCATCTTGTTCAAGCACTGCTGCTTGCTCCACACTGTACTGACAACCAGAAGAGCTAAAGAGCTTTTTTTCTAAATGAAAGCTGAGATTCTAGAGCACATAAAGGGGTCAAGTTATTGAAATGCGCCTCCAATTGGAGACCTACTTTTCTGTAAAATAATGTTATTGTGGTTTGTCTAAAAGCTTCTGGGTCTGATCTTCCAAAACAATCAGCCACTTTCTGGTTTTTCCTTTTCTTTCCCTTTGATTCAGGGGAGAATGTCCTAAGGACTCTTTAGAGACATATGAAAAAAAAAAAGGCACACAGCAGCCCATTAAGCTAATGACCCTTAGCAATATCAGCTGCAAGTGAACAAAAATAATTGCGAAGTTTTCCAGTTAAGCTGTCATGCACAACAGTCTTTTTTCATGGTTGTTAGGAAACATTCGCAAAAGCATAATGGGACATCGGTATGTGAATCACAAAATACTGGTTCACTGTGGAATTCATTGTCAGGTGGGTCACGAGCAGGAAAGATCAGGAACTTGGCAAATACAAAATCCAGTCAGCACATGTACAAAGATAAAACTGAGAGATTACAGTAACCAGCAGTCAGACTAGATTAGGCTGCCATCCCTCCACACCTTCTAGGGCATTCTCTTTGAAAAAGACTTTTGAATACTTCAGCACTGGTCTATGAATAATTCTTTCCACAGATTGAACTGTAAGAAAAGAAGCAAACTGTTTGTACCTTCCTTCTCTACAAGGAGAACAGGAATGTTGACAGCATAGTAAGCAACTGACTTTAGATGAAAGCAACACTGTATCATTTAGGAAGAAAAAAAATGTATTCAAAAATAGAATGAGTAGGACCAATGGGACATAGGAACAACCAGGTGAGATAGAAAAAACAGTCAATGAAGAAAAGGCATGAGACAGCAAAAAAATCTGAAAACCCCACAAGTCAGAAACCACCGTCACCCACTTTTCTTCTGCTGCAATCTGAAAGCCATTGTCCCTGTCTCCAATGCTATTAATGCCTTCAACTGTACAAAGAGCTACACTTTTCTTGCATTATGCCTCAAACACCAACATCCTCCTGGGATGAAGGAAATAATTAAATTTTAGCTGGATAAAATACTACATGTACAATCTCTTTGGGGGAAAAAATAATCTGTGAAATGCTATTCCACAAGAGACCAAAATGTTTACAAATGTCTGGAATAGAGTTTTTTTAAAATCATAACTGTATACATACGAGGCAAAAAAACCGCAAACTAACAAAAAACAAACACAAATGTATTGATGCACATAGACGTAATTATAAAGATTA